ACTCATCCCTGACCACTGGCTGTGAAAACCTACAGGAGGGTAGCTCTCCAAGAACAGGGTTGGAGTTAAAACCTACAGGACGGTAAGCTCTCTAGGAACATGGTTGGAGAGCCCTGTCCTAGATCTAGCCGCTGCTTTCGACACTGTGATCCATCAGATCTTCCTCTCCACCCTTTCAGGGCTGGGTGTCTCAGGCTCTGCACACTCTTGAATTGCATCCTACCTGGCAGGCAGCTCCAACCAGGTGATATGGAGAGGATCTGTGTTTCTATCATGTGCTCTCACTACTGCTGACCCCCAGGGCTCAGTTTTCTCCTTCCCCCCTTCTGACACCCAGGTGGCGACACCATTTATGCGTGCCTGGCAGATATCTCCCAGCTTGGATGTCGGCCCACCACCTCAAGTTCAACCTTGACAAGATGGAGCTACTTGTCCTCCCTACCTGCTCCAAGACCACTCCATCACGGTTGTCAACTCCATGGTGTCCCCCTCCCAGAGTGCCAAGAACCTTGGCGTGACCCTGGACATTACCCTGTCATTCTCTGCAAACATCACAGCAGTGACTCGCTCCTGCAGGTTCATGCTCTACAACATCCGTAGAGTACGACCCTACCTCACACAGGAAGAGGAGCAGGTCCTAATCCAGGCACTTGTCATCTCCCGTCTGGGCTACTGCAACTCGCTGTTGTCTGGGCTCCCTGCTTGTGCCAACAAACCCCTGCAACTTATCTAGAATGCTGCAGCCCGCCTGGTGTTCAACCTTCCCAAGTTGTCCCACGTCACACGGCTCCTCCGCACACTCCACTGGCTTCCAGTCGAAGCTTGCATCCTCTACACAACCATGGTAGTTGCCTACGGAGCAGCAAGAGGAACTGCCCCTCCCTACTTGCACTTTTCCCCCCTACTATCACTGACTTAGCTGATAGCTACTTTATTGAGGAAAAATGTACTTACTATGACTGAGATATGTGGTTGTCCCACCTAGCCATCTTAAGATGAATGGGCTAACTGTAAGTCGCTCTGGAGCATCTGCTAAATGACTAAAATGTAACATTTAATGTAAATGTACATTTGCATAGGAACATTTGTTATGAGCAAAGCAGGGAGAAAAAGTGAATCATTAAATGTACAAGTGAACCAATGCAATGGGGACATTTTCTGCACAATGCATTTATCTTCTCAGTGGTGTAAAAAGGAATAAAGGAACACCTACTAGGTACCTTGCTATCCATTGGTTTATCTTTGCCTCAAAATAAAATCAATTATTATAGATATTACTGGGGGTTTGGTATCTCATATATCATCTGTCCTCACCTTATTGTCCATTTAAGAAGTATAGAAACTATTGTCAGGAGCAGCAAAATTAAATGTGTGTAAAATAATAATTAGTCAGTGCGCGCCTGTGTGTGCCTTACCTCAGGATAACCAAGTTTAGCCTAACCTGCCTCTCCTGATTCCCAGGTCAAACGTAGTGTCAATACCACTTTTTTCTCTCTTCACCTACTCCCGGCCAATTACGCTCTCCTTCCTCACCCAAGGTCAGCATCATAGAGTCTTAATCAACAGCCTCCCCCCTTCCTCCCAATTTCTCCCCCTTCCTCCTCCCTGCCCTCCCTGCCTCTGATCATCATTTATATTTAATTGGGGAGATTACTTCCTGGGAATTCATGGATAAGGTTTTGGCTCGGCACCCACACACACAAACACACACACACACACACACACACACACACACACACACACACACACACACACACACACACACACACACACTTTCTCTCTTTCACACACACACACTGAGTGTGAAATGACAGTGGGATTGACTGTGGAGTGAATACTGATGGTGGGGATGGTGATTTAGCTAGTTAGAGAACCGTCCAATCCCAGACTGGATTATTCCATCACACTGCCAGACGTTCTGCATTACTAAAATTGCAGCCATTGATTTTTACAGCTAAATGGAAGGAGTGCAGACTCATCCCAGTCACTAGATATGTGTTCCTAATGGCACCCTATTCCCTATTTAGCGCACTACGTTAGACTATAGCCATTTGGGATGCAGACTAGGTGTTTCAGGTGAGAAGGGAGAGCCTGATGGTTCTCTTCTTGTGTAGCTAGAGAAGGGTGGAATTGCTGTATGAAGCTATAGTCAACAAATTGTTGTATGTATTTTAATGTCAATGACATTGACATTTAGATATCATTTAACCATAAGGAATTACATGAGCTTAAAATGCAATATTGAGATATATACTGTATTATGTGGTATACTCTTTGCAAAGAATATAGCTATACTGTACAATGTATAAGGTTGAAAAGATAAAGGAATGAAATAAATGGAATAAGTGAAGTTGAGCAGAAGCAGCAAAAAGGGAACCAATAATGATCAAACAGGAAGACTTTCAATTCATTTTGAGCTTCAGCTTAATAGCAGAATGCATTTACCAAACAAAGTTAGAGGGCAGAGCCCAGATCAACAATTTAATTGCGTAACAAATGGCACCCTATTCCCTATATAGGGCCCTGGTCAAAAGTAGTGCACCATAAAAGGAATAAGGTGCCATTTGGGATGCAGCCTTTGTCTGTTCCCAGATCATATTAGTGCTGTGAGAGGGAGGCTTGCCTATATATATTTAGTCTCTATGATGAATGCTCCTGTAGTTTGTACCGCATCAACAATGGTATATTTACAGTATACACACAAACGCTTGCTCGCTCGTGTACACAAACACACACACACAGACTTGAACACATACGGACAAACGCAAACACACACACACACACATGCATCCATGCTGCATTGTACTGTACACACATTTCAGATTTCTTCTTTCTTGTTTTGGATTATTATTTGTGTACTTGTTTGACATTTTTACTGCACTTTTAGGAGCTAGTTACAGAAGCATGTTGCTGCACCAGCTATAACATATTCTGCTTAACTGTGTGCAAGACCAATAAACTGATTTGAGGATCATGGCCATGTTTGACTTTACCACTACAGTGCCTTCGCAAAGTATTCAGACCCCTTCACTTTTTCCACATTTTGTTACGTTACAGCCTTATTCTAAAATGGATTAAATAAAATCAATTAAAAACAGAAATACCTGATTTACATAAGTATTCAGACCCTTTGCTATGAGACTCGAAATTGAGCTCAGGTGCATCCTGTTTCCATTGATCATCCTTGAGATGTTTCTACAACTTGATTGGAGTCCACCTGTGGTAAATTCATTTGATTGGACATGATTTGGAAAGGCACACACCTGTCTATATAAGGTCCCACAGTTGGGAAAAAACCAAGCCATGAGGCCGAAGGAATTGTCCGTAGAGCTCCGTGACAGGATTGTTTCGAGGCACAGATCTGGGGAAGGGTACCAAAACATTTATGCAGCATTGAAGGTGCCCAAGAACACAGTGGCCTCCATCCTTCTTAAATGGAAGATGTTTGGAACCACCAAGACTCTTCCTAGAGCTCGCCGCCCGGCCAAACTGAGCAATCGGTGGAGAAGGGCCTTGGTCAGGAGGTGACCAAGAACCTGATGGTCACTCTGACAGAGCTCTAGAGTTCCTCTGTGGAGATGGGAGAACCTTCCAGAAGGACAACCATCTCTGCAGCACTCCACCAATAAGGCCTTTATGGTAGAGTGGCCAGACGGAAGCCAATCCTCAGCAAAAGGCACATGACACCTAAAGACTCTCAGACCATGAGAAACAAGATTCTCTGGTCTGATGAAACCAAGATTAAAATCTTTGGCCTGAATGCCAAGCGTTACGTCTGGGGGAGACCTGGCACCATCCCTACGGTGAAGCATGGTGGTGGCAGCATCATGCTGTGGGGACGTTTTTCAGCGGCAGGGACTGGGAGACTAGTCAAGATCGAGGCAAAGATGAACGGAGCAGTACAGAGAGATCCTTGATGAAAACCTGCTCCAGAGCGTTCAGGACCTCAGACTGGGGCAAAGGTTCACCTTCCAACAGGACAATGACTCTAAGCACACAGCCAAGACAATGCAGAAGTGGCTTCGGGACAAGTCTCTGAATGTCCTTGAGTGGCCAGTCAGAGGTCGGACTTGAACTCGATCGAACATCTCTGGAGAGACCTGAAAATAGCTGTGCAGGAACGCTCCTCATCCAACCTGACAGAGCTTGAGAGGATCTGCAGAGAAGAATGGGAGAAATTCCCAAATACAGGTGTGCCAAGCTTGTAGCGTCATACCCAAGAAGACTTGAGGCTGTAATCTCTGCCAAAGGTGCTTCAACAAAGTACTGAGTAAAGGGTCTGAATACTTATGTAAATGTAATATTTTAATAAATTAGCAAACATTTCTAAAAACCTGCTTTTGCTTTGTCATTATGGGGTATTGTGTGTAGATTGATGATGGGAAAAAAAAAACGATTTGATCAATTTTAGAATAAGGCTGTAACGTGACAAAATAAGGAAAAAGTCAAGGGGTCTTAATACTTTCCGAATGCACTGTATGTCACACATTATGGTAACCGTCCTGTTTTGACCCTGACCAGAGCCATGGTATGAAGTAGTGCACTATGTAGGGAATAGGGTGTCATATTCATCCGCAGCCAACCGGTCCTATCTGTTGTATTACCATAGGATCAAGTGTATTAATGGCCAATGTGTGCATTGATTTCTCATCCCTTTGATGTAGACACACAGGATAAATATTATGTGGAGCAAGAGCTTCATCAAGCTGTCTGTAATCCGTGATCATTGATTTCCTGCCCAGCCTCCACACGTCATCTATTTTAAATATATTCTTGGCTGCATGCATCCCGCAAAAAGCTAACAAGCTCTCTGTCCTCTGTCCTCTGTCCTCTCCCTTTGCAAATGGTATTGGCAGGCCTCCGCAGAGAGAGAGAGAGAGAGAGAGAGAGAGAGAGAGAGAGAGAGAGAGAGAGAGAGAGAGAGAGAGAGAGAGAGAGAGAGAGAGAGAGAGAGAGAGAGAGAGAGAGAGAGAGAGAGAGAGAGAGAGAAAGTGGGAAGGATGTTGTTAATGGCATTAGAATTGTATTCTACCGTAATGAATAGCATCGTACAACAAAGATAAGAGAGAATGACTCACTTGATTATAGATTATAGTGTTCTGTAAGTGTTTTGTCGTGAGGTCTGGTGTATGTACGTGTGTGCGTGCGTGTGTGCGAACGTGCATGCATGTGCTTGCGTGTGTGTGTTTGTATGTGTGTGTCTCTGTATGTGGCTCTAGTAAAATAATCACTCTAGGAAGTGGCAGCATGTTGAGGAATGGATTCTTAGAGCACACACTGCCAGGCCTCTGTTCTCCTCTCTTCTGATCTCCTCTCCTCTGTTCTCCTCTCCTCTGTTCTCCTCTCCTCTGTTCTCCTCTCCTCTGTTCTCCTCTCCCCTGTTCTGCTCTCCTCTGTTCTCCTCTCCTCTCTTCTGCTCTCCTCTGTTCTCCTCTCCTCTCTTCTCCCCTCCTCTGTTCTCCTCTCCTCTGTTCTCCTCTCCTCTCTTCTGCTCTCCTCTGTTCTTCTCTTCTCTGTTCTCCTCTCCTCTGTTCTCCTCTCCTCTGTTCTCCTCTCTTCTGCTCTCCTCTGTTTCTCCTCTCCTCTGTTCTCCTCTCCCCTGTTCTGCTCTCCTCTGTTCTCCTCTCCTCTCTTCTGCTCTCTTCTGTTCTCCTCTCCTCTCTTCTCCCCTCCTCTGTTCTCCTCTCCTCTGTTCTCCTCTCCTCTCTTCTGCTCTCCTCTGTTCTTCTCTTCTCTGTTCTCCTCTCCTCTGTTCTCCTCTCCTCTGTTCTCCTCTCTTCTGCTCTCCTCTGTTCTCCTCTCCTCTGTTCTCCTCTCCTCTGTTCTCCTCTCCTCTCTTCTGCTCTCCTCTGTTCTCCTCTCCTCTGTTCTCCTCTCTGTTCTCCTCTCCTCTGTTCTCCTCCACTCTGCTCTCCTCTCCTCTGTTCTCCTCTCCTCTCTTCTCCTCTCCTCTCTTCTCCTCTCCTCTGTTCTCTCCTCTCTTCTGCTCTCCTCTGATCTCCTCTCCTATGTTCTCCTCTCCTCTGTTCTCCTCTCCTCTGTACTCCTCTCCTCTGTTCTCCTCTCCTCTCTTCTGCTCTCCTCTGTTCTCTCCTCTCTTCTGCTCTCCTCTGATCTCCTTTCCTCTGTTCTCCTCTCCTCTGTTCTCCTCTCCTCTGTACTCCTCTCCTCTGTACTCCTCTCCTTTCTTCTGCTCTCCTCTGTACTCCTCTCCTCTCTTCTCCCCTCCTCTGTTCTCCTCTCCTCTGTTCTCCTCTCCTCTCTTCTGCTCTCCTCTGTTCTTCTCTCCTGCCCCCCCCCCCACACACACACACATACACACACACACACACACACACACACACTCTCATTTGTGATAGGTAATTAATATTTAAGAATTGGCAAGACATCCATTTTCCTTCCACTGCTTAATTGTCTTGAAAATGTAGGAGATTACAGAGAGAGAGAGATTTATGTTCAAATAAGACTCTGTCAGGACCCGTCAGCACCACGCACACCGGCTGGCTGCCACTGAACACACACACAATCACACACAGTTAGTCAGTGACACACACACACACACACACACTCACAGTTAGTCAGACACATAAACAGTTAGTCAGTAACACACACACACACTCTCACGGTCACACACACACAAAAATGCACTTAACAAATCACTCTCACACACCTACCCCCCCACCACACCACACTCACAACCACTCCCAGACCCCAATTCTTCTTCGCTCTTTCTCCATTCCATCCTCTATTTCTCCCATCCTCCCTTCCAACCTTCCTCCCTTACTCTTTTCCTCCTCCAAAGAACAAACAGAGCCAAGCATTGTCCATATTTCTGATAGTTGTCTGCCTGCATCAGAACAGATCTGTTCCCTTTCCCACCTTTGTGTTTAGCCTTCCAAATCCACAGGTAATTGACTTTTAATGTACAATTAATGCTGAGCCATTGATCACACTGAATCTGAGCTGTGTTAAAGAGAGAGAGAGAGAGAGAGAGAGAGAGAGAAGAGAGAGAGAGATAGATAAGAGAGAGAAGAGAAGATAGAGATAGAAGATAATGTGCATTAGAGAGATAGAATTTGCAGAGAGAGAATTTTTAATATAGCCTTATTATCTTCGTTCCTTCTATATAGTTTCGTCAGAGAGATACGTGCGCTCTCCTTTATGGGGGCGCTCTCTCTAGGGGGGAGCGCGCAATTAAGAGAGAGTGAGAGTTCTCTAGAGAGAGAGGTCTGTAGTGGATCGACAGCACATAGGAGCAGAGTAGAGACGCCCACTTTGACAGCCTGCTTTAGTTTCAGATGGGTGACAAGGTTCAAGGAACGTTAGTGTGTGATCACTTGTGTGCCTGTGTGAACGTGATACATTGTATCATAGCAGACACATCCTCCTATATGAGGCCTATCACTTCATTTCAATTTGGCCTATGTAATGGAGAACATCAACAGTAGTATCTCTTTCTCTCTTTCCACACTGCTCTTCCTCCACACCACTCTTCCTTCTCCTCTATCTCGATCTCCCCCTCTCTCTCTTTCTCTCAATCTACACTGCTTTCCCTCCCTTTTCTCTGCAGTGCCTGTTGGTATGGAAGGCCTGTCTCCAACTGCTCTTCAATACCCCCCCTCCTCCCCCGCTTAGAGCACGAGGGAGGGATGGGGAGAGAGAGAGATAGGGAGAAAGAGAGAAAAGAGAAAGTGTGGGGGAGATGGGCAGTTCTGCCAGGGTGTGTTTTCTTCTTTCTCCCGAGAGGGCCCAATGAGCCGGAGTGATTATAGCCTTACCATTGTAATCTCACATCTTATACCACCTCACCCCTCCTCCTCCTCCACCTCCCCCCTCCCCCGTCCTCCTCCTCCTCCTCCTCCTCCTCCTCCTCCTCCTCCTCCTTCCTCCCCCTCATCCCCCCATTCAACTAAATCCAATTTGTTATGGTTTCAAATGAGGCCTGTTCTCTGTTCTCTTGCTACTTCACCCCAAAGTGCCTTCTCTTACTCTGAGACCAACTTAAATAGGTGAATTTGTTTTATTCTTCAGAGGCTGGGGCAATCTTGTAGCGATGTACAATGAGGACTACAGTTCTATAGCACTGGTGATATTAGTCCAGCTGCTGCTGTGGCTTTGGCATTGAATACCCTTTCATTGCTATGCGGCTGGGCCGATCTGTGCATTTTGCTCTACTATCAAATGCAGGACCCTCTCAGTGTGTGTGTGGGCTGCTGAAGTTCTTGATGAGCTTTTCTACCGTTCTTCTCTTTGTTGTTCTTTAGCCCTTCCAGACACTGTCTGTTCAGTAGACACTGTGCTCCTCAGTTGAGTTCAGATCTGTTCACTCTCACATTTAAATCTCCTCCTGGGACTCGAAGGGACAGTGTTGCTGTGTTGGAGGGATGGTGATAGGAGCCGAAACATCGGGGCTGGCTGAATTATATTTCATTATTATAAAGACTAAGCAAGAACAATAAAAAATAAAAATAAATCTCTACATTCAACTTATTTTGGGTAAGCAGCTCACATATAGCTTTATCTACATGTTTTTCTTGGTGCAGGGACTCCTGACCTCAAGTGTCAGAGGGAAACATAAGAAACCCTGTTATACAACAATAACAGTGTTGACATGCATAGAGTGCTACACACTCCCTCCATACACACTTTAATCAATTACCCCTATATTCTCTCCTCCACTTTACTTTGTGTAAAGTTTGGAAAAGGCCCTTTCCTGTTTCAGCATGACAATGCCCCCCTGCACAAAGTGAGGTCCATTCAGAAATGGTTAGTCGAGATCGGTGTGGAAGAACGTGACTGGCCTGCACAGAGCCCTGACCTTAACCCCATCGATCACCTTTGGGATGAATTAGTGCCCGACCTCACTAATGGTCTTGTGGCTGAATGGAAGCAAATCCCCACAGCAATGTTCCAACATTTAGTGGAAAGCCTTTCCAGAAGAGTGGAGGCTGTTATAGCAACAAGGGGGGACCAACTCCATATTAATGCCCATGATTTTGGAATGAGATATTTGACGAGCAGGTGTCCACATACTTTTGGTCATGTAGTGTAGATGCTTCTGCACCAGGAAAAGGTCTCAGAGAAAACAATACTCTGTCGGGCGTTATCGCTGCAAACTATCTATTAATAAAATGTTGTGTGACTCAAGCTCTTCTTTTTGAATTGTTCAATAAAAAAGTATGAAACTTTGCCGAGGCCCAATACACTATTATGAAATGGATTCTCCTTCTGAAGAGTCAAATCAATTATGATAGTTAATTAAAGTTTTGCATATCTGATTATATTGGTGATAGTTTTGTGTCCAAAAGATATGTGATGTTATAGCTGATAATGATGATGATGATGATGGTTATGATAACAGCCATGAAGATGATGGTGATAATAATGATGATGGTGATTATGATGATAACAGTTATGAATATGATGATGATAATGAGGATGAGGTTTATTTTGCCGATGTTTCTTCACTGTTCAGTAACAGTGTATGTTGGTGTGTTTTGCAGGGTATGATATACCTGGAGGAGAGGAGACTGGTGCACAGAGACCTAGCAGCCCGTAACGTGCTGGTCAAGTCCCCCAACCACATCAAGATCACTGACTTTGGTCTGGCACGGCTGCTGGACATCAATGAGAAGGAGTACAATGCTGACGGGGGCAAGGTAAGCATGGCCAGGAAAACAGAATGTGTGCTCCCTGTATTCTAATCTCACTACTCGCTCCCCTCTGTCTGTTCTCTGTCACTTCTATTCTTCTAGATGCGTGTATTCCCCTCACCGTAGTGTGCTGAGTGAATAGCACACACACCCTCCTCTTAAAGTAATCAATAGGATGTGTCTCAAATGGTACCCTTTATAGTGCACTTCTTTTGACCAGACCCCTATGGGCCCTGGTCAAAAGTAGTGCTCTTTATAGGGAAAGGGTGCCATTTGGGACACACACAAGATAGCCCAGTGAATCAGTTCAGCTGTTTAAACTGCAGCCAGCCTCCTGCGATGTGATGTGATTCTCATCCCACTGTGTTGTGAGCTCTCTGTGGGGGGCAGCTCTTAGGCCTGGGGGAGAAAGGGCTTTATCCTGCCTGGGTTTACTCCTCTCCTCTCCTCTCCTCTCCTCTCCTCTCCTCTCCTCTCCTCTCCTCTCCTCTCCTCTCCTCTCCTCTCCTCTCCTCTCCTCTCCTCTCCTGTTCTATTGTATGATAATAATGATGATACTGTTAAAAAGGTATTTCAAAGAAACCTGAGCATATGACTATAGTAAATGGGATATACTAATGTGGGCAGACATCTAAACTGGGTTGTGGAAGCGTCCCAAATGGCACCCTATTCACTTTGTAGTGTTTGTAGTGCACTACTTTTCACAAGGACCCATAGAGTGTATAGGGCTCTAGTCAAAAGTAGTGCACTATATAGGGAATAGGGTGCCATTTGGGACATTACCCTGGTCTCTGACATCACACTAGCTATGTTTCCATTAATTGTCGACATTTAGAAAGTTCGCATTGAAAATAGATGCGACAATTGCCTGCTAGCGTGCGTTTATATGCAATAATAATTTACTGATATTTGCTATATTCTAATAATTATCATGTGCCAGCGTATCGCCTATATACGTGCAATGGTGAAACTTGCACTCCTGTAGATCTGAAATAATTGGATGGTGAAACTTGCCAGCTAACCAGAAAAGCAAGGCGGAGCAATTCAGGCATTCTTGAATGTCAGAACAATCCTTGTCTGGCAAACAAACATAATTGTTATAGTTGAAGACAAATATTTTGCAAGCAGTAGGCATTTAAAATGAAATGTGGAGTGGAGCTTTATAGTTACGTGATGACATCATGTTCCCCGCGTACCTTTAAAATTATTCAGCAATCATAATTTATTTGAAAAATCACTGCTGTCGAACGGATACAAATGTTGTCAATCTTTAGAAAATGTATCTTATATCTGCCATTTCCATTACACATGTCAGCCCAAAAAAAAATTACGACATTGCTTTTTTCGAATAAACCTGGGTCAATGGAAACCTGCCTAATGACCCTGCAAAAATGGCAAAGTGTGATGGTTTTAGAAGGCTTTAGCACAACAGGAGCTTGATGCTGTGGCTTTGCTGAAATTAAATTGTCGTTTTGTATTTTCGTTTGAGTTATTTTAGCTCAGTGGGCTTTCATTCATATTTAATTTATCTCGTAAACATCCACTATAACTGCCTTGTTGGCAAAGTATTCGCAGCATATTAACACACAGGCCTATATGGCATGCAATGTCACGCCCTGGCTCTGGGGTCTCTTAAATGTTGAGCCAGGGTGTGGACTTGTTATGTTTAGTTTTCATTGGGTCTGTTCTAGTTCGTGTTTTCTATGTTGGCCAGGGTGGTTCCCAATCAGAGGCAGCTGATTCTCATTGTCTCTGATTGGGAACCATACTTAGGCAGCCTGTTGGCACTAGTTATTTGTGGGATCTTGTTCTGTATAGGTTTGTTTTGGTGTAGAACCTTTAGACTTCACGTATCGTTTTGTTGTTTTGTTGTGGATGTAAAGTACTCATTAAAAGATGTACGCCTATCACGCTGCGCCTTGGTCCGGTTCTTACGACGATCGTGACAGAAGATCCCACCGTAATAGGACCAAGCAGCGTGTGCAGGAGCAAACGCCGGGTATGGAACAGGAGGTTACTCTGGTAGATGTCCTCCTCGGTTGGGGGAGAATCACAGAGGAGGAGGCCGTCCGCTACCGGAGGGCGATGAGGGAGGATGCCCAGGCAGGAGAGGAGAAGCGGCGCCAACCGGGTCGTCGTCGGACAGGCGAGAGGCAACCCCAATAATTTTTTTTGGGGGGGCACACGGCATGGACGACGGGGATGCTGGAGGCAGCTACAGGACGTATCGGCGGATTAGGAGAGGAGGCCACCAGGTTTGGGGGGCTGGAAGGGAGGTTGGCGGAGCCTAGAGGTAGAGCAGAGCCAACTCCCCGTACTCAGGCTAGGCAGCGTGAGACTGGGCAGGTTCCGAGTTATGCGGAGCTGCGTACTGTGCCGTGAGTGGTCCGGCACAGTCCTGTACGTCCTGTGCTAGCACCACGCACGTGTTGTGCTAAGGTGGGCATGCAGCCAGGACGGAGTGTGCCGGCTCAACGCTCGTGGCCTCCAGTACCCCTCCTCGGTCCCGGATATCCTGCGCCAGTGCCACGTGCTGTAGTGCCAGTACGAGTGCACAGCCCTGTACGTCCTGTGCTGATGCCTCACACAGAGTGTGTAGAAATAGGCATTCAGCCAGGACGGGTTGTGTCAGCTCTTCGCTCCAGACCTCCAGTCCGTCTCCACAGTCCAGTCCGGCCTGTTCCTGCTCCCCGCACCAAGCCAGTGGTGCGCGTCGTCAGCCCGGTCCGGCCTGTTCCTGCTCCCCGCACCAAGCCAGTGGTGCGCGTCGCCAGCCCGGTCCGGCCCGTTCCTGCTCCCCGCACCAAGCCAGTGGTGCGCGTCGTCAGCCTGGTCCGGCCCGTTCCTGCTCCCCGCACCAAGCCAGTGGTGCGCGTCGCCAGCCCGGTCCGTTCCTGCTCCCCGCACCAAGCCAGTGGTGCGCGTCGCCAGCCCGGTCCGGCCTGTTCCTGCTCCCCGCACCAAGCCAGTGGTGCGCGTCGTCAGCCAGGTTCGGCCTTTTCCTGCTCCCCACACCAAGCCAGTGGTGTGCGTCGTCAGCCCGGTCCGGCCCGTTCCTGCTCCAAGCCAGTGGTGCGCGTCGTCAGTCCGGCACGGCCCGTGCCTGTTCCACCGGTGCCTGGTCCGGCACCGGTCAGCTGCTCCACTCCGGAGCAACAGCAATCCGCTCCACCGGGGTCCAGTCCAGCTCCGGCCAGCGGGGCCAGACCAGACCAGGGGCGCTACGGGGGGGTAGCGAGAGAGTGGTGGTCACGCCCGGAGCCGGATCCGCCTCCGAGGCGGAATGCCCACCCGGCCCCTCCCCTGTTGTGTTTGGTTGGCGCGGTCGCAGTCCGCGCCTTTGGGGGGGGGGTACTGTCACGCCCTGGCTCTGGGGACTCTTAAATGTTGAGCCAGGGTGTGGACTTGTTATGTTTAGTTTTCATTGGGTCTGTTCTAGTTCGTGTTTTCTATGTTGGCCAGGGTGGTTCCTAATCAGAGGCAGCTGATTCTCGTTGTCTCTGATTGGGAACCATACTTAGGCAGTCTGTTGGCACTAGTTATTTGTGGGATCTTGTTCTGTATAGGTTTGTTTTGGTGTAGAACCTTTAGACTTCACGTATCGTTTTGTTGTGGATGTAAAGTACTCATTAAAAGATGTACGCCTATCACGCTGCGCCTTGGTCCGGTTCTTACGACGATCGTGACATGCAAACAGCTTTAGTGAAGGTTAAGTTGACCCCAAATGGATCAGTAAACAAATAGCGACTTTACTCCCCTTTCAGACTAATCTGAACACGGCTCTATAACTGTTTACTATTCCTCTAATAGGAACAACAGGAAAACTCACAGGAGAAAAATACATGCCTAGTATTTATATAGGGTCAGAATTGGACATCATGGGCTGATTAAGCCTAGTCCTGGACTAAAAAGCATGCTCAATCTGGATTAAAAAGCATGCTCAATCTGGACTAAAAAGCATGCTCAATCTGGACTAAAAAGCATGCTCAATCTGGACTAAAAAGCATGCTCAATCTGGACTAAAAAGCATGCTCAATCTGGACTGAAAAGCATGCTCAATTGAATATCTCCATGAAATAGCTTTTTACTCCAGAACTAGGCTTATTCTTGTCCGGAAAACTAGCCCTTTGTCTTTTATTCAGTTCACTCCAACGTTTGTTACAAAATAAAAGCTATTCTTCTCTTTACTTGTAGATGCCTATAAAGTGAAAGCCATTTCTGCGTAGCTAATTGCCTTCTTGCATTGCGTACTTACAGTATGTTGGGTATAAATTAGCCATTAGTCAGACATTCAGAAGTTCAATAAAATATGTGTTTCTCTTTGCCTCCAGATGCCAATCAAGTGGATGGCCTTGGAGTGTATCCACTACAGGAAGTTTACCCACCAGAGTGACGTGTGGAGCTACGGTAAGGCTGGGCATTAACATAAATTAAATCAATCAATCAACCAATCAATCAATAAACAAACCATTCAAAGTGTTTTTACAGTTATGTGAGAGCTCTGGTGAAATCATAAGATATCCAATGTATTTATTATATTTGGCAAAACAAACTTGAACCTTACACCTTCTCAGGGGTGACCATTTGGGAACTGATGACGTTCGGGGGGAAGCCCTATGATGGCATCTCGACCCGGGACATCCCAGACCTGCTGGAGAAGGGAGAGCGTCTGCCCCAACCTCCCATCTGCACCATAGATGTCTACATGGTCATGGTGAAATGTAAGCTACCCTGTATAACCCCCTCCTTCTCTCTCTCCTTCTCTCTCTCTCTCTCTCTCTCTCTCTCTCTCTCTCTCTCTCTCTCTCTCTCTCTCTCTCTCTCTCTCTCTCTCTCTCTCTTTCTCTCTCTTTTTCTCTCACTCACTCATTCACTCACTCACTCACTTTCACACACACACACACACACACATACACACACACACACACACACACACAACCCCGCTGCTATGGCCCCAGCCCTATAGGGTAGGATCACAGATGGTACTATGCCCCCCTGTCCAGGCAGAGAGACACCATGCCAGCACTACCCTTGTGTTTCCTGGCTGTACTCTCTCCTCTGGCTGTGACCCCTCTCTCTCCTCTGGCTGTGGCCCCCCTCTCTCCTCTGGCTGTGGCCCCTCTCTCTCCTCTGGCTGTGGCCCCTCTCTCTCCTCTGGCTGTGGCCCTTCTCTCACACATTGGGGCCAGGGTGTCACTGACTGACCTACAGCCTCTGTCACCTTCCTCCATGATCCTGTGCCCAATGCCCCTGTAGTACCCACACCAACCTCTCCCTCATCAAACCAGATGGTCAAAATCAAATCAAATGTTATTTATTTGACACATGCTTTGTAAACAAAAGTAGCAGCAGTGTGTGTGGTGGTGAGTGTCTGTGAGTGTGTGTGTGGCGTCAGCATGCATGTGTGCGTGTGTTATGTGTGTGTGGGCGTATGCAGTGTGTGGGTGTGTATATGTATGTGTGTGTTGGGGGATTAGGGTATACCCTCTCTCTCTCTCTCTCTCTCTCTCTCTCTCTCTCTCTCTCTCTCTCTCTCTCTCTCTCTCTCTCTCTCTCTCTCTCTCTCTCTCTCTTCTCTCTCTCTCTCGCTCATTTACTGTTTCGCATTGAGGAATCCTTCTACAGTATACCTTGTCCGTGTTCTCTATCTCTAAAGGTCTTTGTTATCCCCTCCAGGTTGGATGATAGACGCAGACAGCAGGCCCAAGTTCAAGGAGCTGGCTGCAGAGTTCTGTAGGATGGCCCGGGACCCCCAGCGCTACCTGGTCATCCAGGTGACTTACCTTACTTTACTGTCTAACACCCATCCTTATCCTGGGGAGTAGAGTGAATGAAAAAACTCTGATGTGTGGATATCATGATTTTCCAGTAATTTGTATGTCTCTCCCTCTCCTTCTCCCCCACCACCCCCCTCCCTCCCCCCTCCAGGGTGATGACCGTATGAAGCTCACCAGCCCCAACGACAATAAGTTCTTCCAGAGCCTGCTGGATGAGGAGGAGCTGGAGGATCTGATGGATGCTGAGGAGTACCTGGTCCCTCACGCCTTTAATATCCCACCACTGGCGTACACACCCAGGACACACGTTGACTCCAATAGGGTAAGGCTCCACTCTCCTCTCCCCTCTTCTTCTCCTCTCTTCTCTCATCTCCTCTCCTCTCCTCCTCCCCTGTCCTGTCCTGTCATCCTCTCCTCTCCTACCCTCTCTTCTCTCCTCCTCTCTCCTCTTATTTCCTCTCCTCTCTTTTCCTCCTCTCTCCACTCCTCTTCTTCCAACAGGGTAAGGCCCTGTGTACATAATGCCCTTCTCAGAATACATTCTATTCTATTCTATTATATTAAAATGATTTTCAAAATGCCTCTTCCCTAACTTCTTTCCTTAGAAGCCTGGCTACAAAGTGTCCTCTGATATTTAATCCCAGTCTCATACAACCGAAGACAAAGATCACACTGAGCTACTCCATCATTCAACCTGTGTCCTCTTCATGATAAACTCCCCTTAAATTCTACCTTAAAGTGTTTTCTTCTGATGTCTGTTTCAGTACATTGTGTTTGACTGGTTGATTTCCCATGTGGGTTGGACTCATCTGTTGCACTGAAATTGAGTTCCACTTCTCAGGTTGTAACTGCAGTGTATATTACCACAACATACAGTACATACACAGACAGAAGCCTGTAGGGCTATGTAAAACCAAGAGCCACAGTATTTAGTGTGTTGCTATGGGTGATGAGGAGGAAGAGAGGAGGAAAACAGAGGAGGTGATGGGAGGAGTTGACAGAAGAGGAGTGACAGAGGAGAAATTGTTACAGGCTAAAGGGTTCACAGTGTGAGGTCTGGAGTCTATTCTCCTCAGTAAGAGAAGGAAGAGCAGAGGAGGTTGATTTCTGATTGTGGTGGATGGGTACACAGCGTGAGAGAGTCTCCTGTCCTCAGTGAGTGCTGACTACACACCTGCAGACCACCGCTGAGACTGAGAGATCAGAAGGGGGAGGAGGTGACGAGGGGGGGGTAAAGACCACTCACCCACAGGAGGGGAGAGGACAGGGGAGGATGGAGGAGGAGGGTGAAGAAGGGATGAGGGGGGGAGAGTGTTGTAGCAGGGTGAGAAGGGAGAAGGAGGAGACTGACTCTCCCTTGAACCAATACTCTTGAACACAAGTACCAACACTCAGGAGTGTGTATTAAACCTCTTTGTCCTCTTATGCCCCTGCAGGACCAGTTGGTGAACCAGGACCCTAGCTTCACCCACAGCCCATCAGTGTGTACAGTACATTAAACCTCTCCTTGTTTCCCTACAGAACCAGTTTGTGTACCAAGACCCTAGTTTCGATATGGAGGACATGTTGGGGACCATCCCGCGGGTGCTGTCCCTGTCACCAGGGAACCAGTCTGTAGGGGGGCAGGGCGGTAGCGGCCCGGAGCACCAACGCTTCGAGGACCAGCGCTGTAACGGCACCCTGAGGAAGCAGGCAACTCCCCGGCCCGCGGGACCTCCTGGATCAGACGGAGCACCAGGTAACGCCTCTTTTAGCACTGTTATTTTAGCTTCCTTGATTCTTAATATATTTTGTCTATTTTTTATTGTTTGTTTGTTTGTGTTTTATTTGTCTATGTAGAGCGTTGAGATTCCTATGTAATGAAAAGCCCTATACAAATACATTTTATTATTATTATTATTTAGCCTCAGGTCCAGGGGAGAGCAGCAGTGGACAGCGCTACAGTGCAGACCCCACCATCATGCTGGGGGAGAGAGGAGCTAGAGGAGACACCGACCAGGATGGATATATGACCGCCATGAGGGAGAAGGCCTCCTCAGGTACAACATGTCTTCACTATTCAGTGTTTTCCTTTCCTCAGGTAATGTCATGTACAACAGGAAGCACTTCTTAACTGTTTATGATGTATTTCCTTGATAAAGCTTTTATCCATAGCCACAGACTTGGATTTGTATATTTTTGGGCTTTTGGTTCTGAAGCTTGGCAGTAACTGTTCCAGTTAGACAAAAATTCTAAAATAGGTGAAAGACCACTGTTCTGATCCTTTCCAATGAGCCTCGTCTGTTACCAGAGGGGTGTACTGTTCTGTAGTGTACCTGGTGACGTCAGATCCCAGGTTTCATCATCTCCACCCTTCACCCTTTGATCCAGACAGCTGTAGAGGCCTACCCACCATCACCCACACACACACACACAAACAAACAAACAAAAAAACACACACACACACTCTCACACATAGAGGCATGTCAGAGGCTAGTGAAGAGATCCGTAAGATCAAAATACTGCAAACCTTCTGTTCATCCTGTGAAAGCCTCTCTCTATCTCTACCTCTCTCTCTTCCCCCTCGCTCTCTCCCCCTCTCTCTTCCCTCCTCAACACCCCCCCCCCCCCCCCCCCCCCCCCCTCTCTAACAGACTATCTCAACCCTGTGGAGGAGAACCCGTTCGTGACGCGCCGGAGGAATGGAGACGCCCTAACCCTGGACAGCTGTAACCCCTATCAGGTGGACTTTTTTATGACTATTTGGACTATTTCTTATGGACTACTTGCTCCTCAATTTTTCTACAGTTTTTTTTTACTGTTATCGACATTTCCCCCCTCCCATTTTTTATCTGGTAAAGTGTGTTGTGACCCCTGCTAATCCTTAGGAGTCTAAGCCATTGTTTCATGATATCTACTACCCAAACACATGGAATTGTTGTAAGATAGTAATAACATGGACCATCTAGCTATTTGAAAGCACTTTAACTAAACTTTGACTTGACTTGTCAGGTGGCCCCCAGCGGCCCCCAACATGCCGGCTCCGGCCCCAGAGTGGAGGACGAATACGTCAACGAGCCCCTCTACCTCAACACCTTCCACAACCCCGGAGGCCCAGGTCCAGGTGTGGGAGACTACAGTGACTACACCCTGAAGAAGAATGGGGTCACTGGGGGACACAACCCTGCCCTCGCCACCCTGGTAGGCCAGCCAGGCGCCACTGGCCTCACTGCTGGCCAATCAGGCACTGCCCAGGCAGGAAACCCTGCTCACAACGTCCAGGCAGCCCACGCCCATGGAGTCTCTGCACAACCGGGATACGCCGTACCTCCAGGGCTCGGTGCGGCCGGCGCCCACCCAGGCCACCCCTCCCACCCAGCCCACCCCGGGTACACCCTTCACCCCGGCCTCACAGGCACCATCATGTTAGACAAGAAAAATAGACAAGACAAGAACAAGACGTTTGAAAATCCAGAGTACTGGCAGCATAGCCTCCCTCCCAAGGCCACCCTGCACAACCCTGAGTACCTGCAGGACTGCAGCACACGCTTCTTCTACCGGCAGAACGGACGCATCCGGCCCGCAGTGGCCGAGAACCAGGAGTACCTGACAGAGTTCGCCCTGAAACCTGGGACCGTGCTGCCGCCCCCACCCTACAGACAGAGGAACACTGTGGTGTAACGGGGAGGAGGGATGAAGAGGAAAGAAGGACTGGGCCAGGAAAGGTGGAAGACAATGGGAGGAGGAGGGGAGAATGCGAGTGGACAGTCCCTCTCTCACTCAGCCACACAGTATTTACGTATCAACCCTGGATCCCTTCACCAGCACTGGACTGACACATTTGAACTGACACTGGATTACAGTAACATTACAGTAATATTACATTATAAGACAGTGCTGAGAGCCTCCCACCTCCAATGAACCCAGGACTGATATTCTCCTCTCTGTCTGTCTATGTCCTCTACACTGGATTACAGTAACATTACACAGAAGTACTACAGTAATATTACAGTAATATACACTGGAGGTTTTCACAGATTTACCTGTAACTGAATACCCGAGACCCGATCCGGGACCAGAGCGGGTTCTGATCCAGAATTCTAAATAATGTCACGGGTCTGGGTCGGATCTGATATGATTGTCACGGGTCTCGGGTATGTGTAATTTTAACTAACTTGTCCGGAAGGACCCGTAAAGATCCGAACACGACTGCTGCAGAAGAGAGGGAGAGAGCGAAATAGTGTAATTTATGCTGCTACTCTTGCTTTTCACGAGAATGGCGCGTGTAGTTTGTTGTTGTTGTTGGCCAATCATAAATCATCAAAGTGGCAATAGGCTACAGTCATAGAGTCTCCGTGTGTGGCAAAAGTTAGGAGATATATAATCAATGGAAGATGGAATTAAAATGACGGAATTAAAAGTTAAAGGATAGGCTACAACGACCAAGAACCAATAGGAAGGCTGCTACTTAATATTCTAAAATGAGTTGTTGTTGTTTGTAACTGTGTAGGACGAGAAAGTGCATGCAGCCTCAATTAGCCTAGCTAGCTAGCTTAAGTAGCTTCTCCCGGTTTGATGCAATCAAGACAGGTACTACGTAATCATATCGGATGATAAATAACCTAGCTATGGCAGCTATTAGTCTACTATAGCGCGAGTTGGCTGGGTTGGTTGCCGTCTCTCGTCTCTCCCTCCATGCTCCCTGTGTCCCTCGCTCACACTCACAGTAACCTACACACACAGCACGGCACCTGCTAGAGCGTCACCTCTCTCTACCTCCTCTCCCTCACGCTTTATCATCTCCGGTTAATAAAGTAGCTTAAAAATGTACTTTTCTGCTTCCCTCACTCGGATTGGATCAGACCGGGTCTGGATCTGACCAGGTCTATACGGAACGGATCTAGTTGTCCTCGCGTCCGTTCGGAACGGGTCTCTATATTGAAAACAATTGTATTTATGCATATCGGGTCCAGGTGGGAAGGCCCAGGTCCATTTTGGAACGGGTCCAAATTCTTGGACACGTGAAGGCATTTAATATACACTGCTGAGAGCCTCCCGCCACCCAAGAACCCAGGACTGGCTTGATAATTGACAGCCTCACCGGTCACTCTCAGCCCCTCTCAGCCATTCTTAACTCCTGCAATACCGCACCCATTACTCTCCCTCAGCCCCGCCCCTTCAGTGTTGATTACACGGACAGGCTCCGCCCACACCTGGGAAATTGACTCACTGACTGACTTAATACTCTTTTTTTATTTGTTTTATTTCAAACTCCTTTAGACTCCAGCAACAACAACAACAACAACAACAGAAGGCAAAGTGAAAAGTGACATGTAATGACAAACAGTATCGGTCTCTGCAGTATATTTTTTGCTCATCATCTCTAATATATTATTTTATTATTAATAAGATTTGTGTAAGAACCATACAGTAATTCACAATCAATACACTACACTGAAGGTCTTGGAGCAGCACATTTTTCCAACTGGGTTAAATGTATATAGTAGCAATCCACCATCCACACATACAGTAATGTCATGATAGCCGTTGGTGTGCAGTATATCAGGTTCATATAGGAGAACACGCATACATCCGTGTATACACTGCTGTTCCATGACTGTCTGCCAAGCCCCAGCCACGCCATACATCTGTCACATAGTGTGGAGGATGCATTCCTGTCCGCTGACTGGCTGGCTGGCTCTGTGTGGTGTCTTTGATGTTGACATGGTTCGAACCCCTCTGAATATGTAATGGAATTCGTACATTTATTATACAGCTCCGCTCATATCATGTTCATTTGTATCTCGCAAAGAAGGAAGACGTGCTCCCAACCTTGACACATCAATAACCCTGTTCTAATTCAATATACATACATGCACGATATAGCCAAACACAGAGAAAGAGTTAACGTTAGCGCCGTGTGCATTACATTTTTGGACCAGGAGCTCCATTGACCTTGGGTTCTAAAGCAGTGGAGATAACAGCAGCAAAGGCAGTGCAGCGGGATGAGAAGACAAAGCCACTCAGCAAGTAAATGTCACAATGTTATATGTATGCAAAGCTTGAACGGCCTATGCTGAACACAGTGAAATACATCAGGCAGAAAGTGCCACAGGATTTAAAAGGGAATAGGCTTATCTGTAAGGAGAGGACCTCAACCACCCAGCCATGGTGTTCTTTCTAACCCACATGACTTCTGAGGCAGACAAATGACAAACCACTGGATCGATGCAGTCATAGAATATAAATAGGAAACTGCTATATGTTGCATTATCTGTTTATTTACTGACAAACCCTGGCAGAGTCTGTCTGTCCGTTTCCCTATCAGAGCTGGTTACAAAGACCTCAGGAGAGGACTATTAAGATGGGGACTGAACTCTGAACTGAACTGGATAGACAGACAGACAGAGAAAGTGAAGAGATGGCAGGGTCATGTTCATTAGGCACCAAACAGAAGACAACAGACTGAAACAGGGAGGGACTATCTGGACGTTGTGAAGCGGTTTGTTACGGTGTGCCATAATGAACACCACCCGTGTGTGGAGAACTGAAGGATTCGGGGGACTGGATGGGTGTCGGCAACAGACACCAGTTTTTCTGGGACGGGAGAGGCCTGAAAACTTGGTCTGGTCCTGGGCGTTAAGAGGTATAACTAAGCCCCGATGTGGTGGACACTACCCTGGAGGAGAGGCATTGTGAGTGCTGGTCAAACTGGATAGGAGAGCCTGAGAACCTATTCTGATCTTGGGTTGGCCATGGGCAGTGAGGAGTGAACAAAGCATGGAAATACACTGGAAATAAACCTATTACTCGCCAAGTAGACTGTCATCATTGGCAGACATGTTCTGTGGAATAACAGAACATCAGATAAGGACAGTTGAAATGCTGTAGTTATTACTATGTCCATGCCATGAAGAATAGTATTACAACTAAAACAAGACTGTCTGAACACCAAACTGGTCCATAAAACCAAGACTTTTGCTCCACCACCAAATTCCTCTCTCCCCTACTACGTAAAGTACAGTGCATCCCCTCTCCAACAGTTTGGACTGGAGAATAAAACTGTGCCAAAACATTTGGAGAGATGTCCTTCCTCCACAATGACATTTTCATTAAGAAAACACAGGAGCTACAGCGATCGAGGACATTGAACACTTTTCTATTCATGTTTGACAATAATGTTGAGATAGTACAGGTAGACAGACACCATATCTATGGAAGGCCAGATCCATGTGTCTCAGAATACTGCCAGATGATTTTTCTTTTCGCTGCTAGTAGAGGGGGAATACTGTCATCCATAAATAAATATTCTGATTTGGGCCTTTTTTAGTTTTTGTTGATTTGATAATAACTTATTAACCATTCTGGCACAGCCAAACCTCTCTCTTCATTTTAATTATGTTTTATCTATCGCATTGCAGCTAGAGAAAAGGCAGACAGCCTACCCAATTTCACAGTTAATTTTCTCTGCATTGTGGCTTCTGTTTGTAATTGCTCAGTGTGTTTGCATAATGAAGGACAATCCACAGATGGAGCACTTTATTAATAATGAAGACTAGCAGCAGGGTAGAAGAGAGAAGGGCTAGTACATAGTTTCCCAAGCTCGGTCCTGGGGACCCCAAGGGGAGTTTGGGAAACCCTGGTCTAGAAGCACTGACAGGAGGACTAGAAACATGTTCATTGGTTCTCCACTCCAATGAAAATAGAATGAAAAGGAATAAAATGTCAGGGAGTTTTTGGAGAGGCATTGTGTTATTTTTATTTTATTTTAGCCAAACAGAGATGTATCCTGGACGGTGTTTTATCTCCAGTTCTCCTCCTTTATTAAAAATAATTACTTGCCAAGTGAGTTCCAGCTGAAGCACTTCAAAACTTAGTGGGGCAGCAGGTAGCCTAGCGTTTAAGTAACTGAAAGGTCGCTGGTTCTAATCCCTGAGCCGACTAGTGGAAACATCTGTCGATGTGCCTTTGAACAAGTCACTTAACCCTAATTGCTCCTGTAAATTGCTCTGGATAAGAGTGGCCGGTTGCATAAAATACCTACGGTAATGAAAATAATCCCTTAAAGTAAACCCTTATATCAAACCCTTAAATGAAGGTGTTGTATGCAATCGGACACAGGCTCTCAAAGTCCTAGCATAGCATCACACAGGGCTTTTAGCTAGCATGATGTTATAGCTTTCCTTATCCACTAAAGCTGCTATGTTCTGCTGTTCTGAAACGAGGGGAAATCATGTCACCCAACATCTCCAATCAACATGCCAGAGAGAAATACTGGCGGACAGGGAAATAGTTTCCAATTCTTAGCAGGGTAAAAGGCAAAAATATTAGCATTCCACAAATGTTACGAGATCAATGCATCAATGTTACAATGGGTTGTCTGAGAATCAGCATTTCGGTGCTGTGCTGGCAGCAAAAATAAATGTACACTACATGACCAAAAGTATGTGGAACCCTGCTCATCGAACATCTCATTCCAAAATCATGGGCATTAATATTGGTCGTCCCTTTGCTGCGATAACAACCTCCACTCTTCTGGGAAGGCTTTCTACTAGATGTTGGAACATTGCTGCAGGACTTGCTTCCATTCAGCCACAAGAGCGTTCCAATTCATCCCAAAGGTGTTCGATGGGGTTGAGGTCAGGGCTCTGTACAGGCCAATCAAGTTCTTCCACAACGAT